GCGTACACCACACTAAAACAGAATTCATTCAGGCCCGCCTGATTCATAGTCAGATTCTTCAGGTGGTTGCCAAACAGCAGGACCTATACAATCACGGCCTGGCTTTACTCAATATTGCTGGTCTCGATAATGTCATCGGTGCACCAAGGGATGACGTGCAGAAGAATATTGATAAAGCTGCTTTAATGTTTTCTTCAGTAGGATTTCCCCGGGGTGCAGCCATGTGTGAAATTACCCTGGCTGAACTCCATCTACGGGAAGGGAATCTAGAGCTGGCAAAAACCATCTTTGGAAAGTATCTACAATTATCATTGGGAAACAGTACGGAGATGACTGCCCACTGCCTCGAGTCACTTGCTGAGGTCAGACGCTGGGGCTTTATGGATTCATTGTCCAAGTGGCCAACAGTTTTGTTGGCTCATGAACTCAAGTCAAAACACAGGCTCGGGATCCACAGAGCGCTTCAATTCCTGGCAGATACTTTCTTCAATGAGGGTGTTGAAGATACAGCCTCCACCTTATTCACTATTGCCTTGGAGGCATATACCTCCATGGATGTTCATCAATGGAGAGCTGAATGTATGCTTCAACTTGGGAATATCGAAAAGGGGCACGGGAACCTACTCGAGGCAATAGAACTTTGGGAAAAGGCCTTAGGTCTGTTTCAAAGATCATCGCAGACGAAACAGGTAGAAGAAATTAATGAAAGACTGGCCATTGTTAGGAAAGATGTAGAGAAACAGCGAAACAAGATCAGCCGTCCTGAGCGACTCGAATAGCCTTACAGCCTTCGAAGGAGTCGAATGTGCCATTGTCTGATTTTTCCGAATGTTATCGATTTCGCAATGGATTATGTCTCATTGGACATTGTAATGTAATTCACTATCCTGTGATTATGTCTCATTGGACATTGTAATGTAATTCGCTATCCTGTGTATATGCTAGATCAGTAGCTCTGTATAGGGATAATACTGTACCATTATTATCTTAGCTTTGACGCAAAATACACAACTTAGAGACTCCACAAAACACACACCTTTAAGAGTATTCACTGCCCTACACATCCTCAGAAAATACACAGGTGGAGCATTTGAAAAAGGTTCACTACTTCTGACTGGACAAAAAACACACACAACCCTCATTTTTATCCACCTCTCGCTTTTCTTCGAAGTACACTACCTCCACCGGGTCCCAAAAAATACACCGCTTCCCCAAAGAAAGAAAAGGAAATGGACCACTGTATCTAAAACATGTCAGTCGAAGAACTCGGAGGTTTGAGTAGAGGATTCCACTCGCACCTCTTTTTTTCGTCTTCTTGTTATTCTTGTTTGCCTCGAAGTCTGGAGTAAAATACTGCCGATATTATGCTGGATTCGGCTCTGAAAATTTGGATTAATGACGAGTAAAACAGCCGCTACGAGATTGAAGTATTGTCCCACAGAGCCCGAACGCGACAGCGAGCTTACTCCCCGAATCTATGTCGTACGTCCAGGGTGCAGGCGCACGACCATAATGTCGCAGGGTCAGTAGCTTCCCTTCTTGAGGCTTCAGAATCCGCTCGGTGCAATTCTCTACGCACGAGGGAGGGTTGAGAATCTTTGTACTCCGCAGGTGGACGGCCCGATGCTCTCCACTAGTCGAGCGCTCGAAGCGGGCAAGCGCAGAGCCTGAGGATGCACTGATGGTCAATATGTTGCACCGCGAGAGAAAGAATATTGCCACGTACCATGCCACGGGTAATATCTCATGTTCTTGCGCACAACTGCGAACAAGGAAGTGAAAATGAAAGGGTGCAGTGTGTCGCCATCGGCGGTCAGGTTGAGCGTTCTGCCGAAATTCACAGGGAATTCTTGGGTAAGGCGAAACAAAATGGATTGAGGATAGGTAGTATTCCGGGTGCCGAACACACTGCGGCACCGTTCGAGCTGCTCCGGTGTCACCAGCTTCTCGTGCAGGAGGCAATCGCGGAATTCTGGGGCAGGATTATTTGCCAAGGACACCCAGATGGTATAAGCAGGTCCTGTCCGCGACTGAAAGACGACGGTTCCTTGTCTGGGGTGACCCGCAGGCGCACGCTGCCTTCCATCGGCAAAGCACTGGGATTTTTATGGTAGTAGAGAAATCCACTGGACTGGGGCGGGAAGGGAGCGCGCTGGTGATTATCCTGAGAATAAACGATTCTCTGTCCGGTATTACCCTCCCGCAAGCGGATGGTGAGCGTGTTTTTGTTCGAGAGATCAAGGTAGTCATTCGAGTCAAATTTAATGTAGAAATGAGACGTCGAGGACGAGAGCCACCGGACTTCTTCTTCCCGGGAGGCGTGGAGGCTCTGCGAAAGCTCTTCGTGAGTGGTGAGCGAAAACTAGGTAACCAAGGACGAGCAACCCACAGGGCTGCTTGAACATCGACGGTGTAGTGTCGAGTCGAGGGCCAAATAGAACGACGATCTATTCGAGAAAATTTCCGCGCCAACATGCACATCGATGGTGGCAGAAGAGACGTATCGTTATGTCGGGTTTGGCGAAGCTTAGGGTGACAAGCAAAGCGGCCCGCGTGATCCGACCGGTCCATCCATCGAAATTGAGTTTTCGCAGAGACTCTTATCAGGCTGAGCCTATTGCAAGCCGCAGGGGAAGAGTAACAAAAAAGCCCTGCATGTCGTACTCAGACGCGGGGAGTCGAACCCCGAACTGCCTGGTCAGTGGCGATGCATGACGCATTGCAAACGGCTCTTACGCGCGAGGCTGTGTTCCGTTGTACTTGGTAGTCAAGTACCAGGCATTCCTTCTCTCAGCCAAGAGCAGAAACATCAGCGCGGGTTTTCAAATAAGCAGCGGGAGCATTGCCAAAATATTACGGCGTTCCGAAGCCAAAAGACCTCGGGGAGAAATTTACTATTTATATGGGAAGACCATGTGCGATCCATCGTACTTCAGATTCTTCGAAACCATTCAGCTCAACGGAATCCATGTGGACTGAGAAGAGCGTGTTGAATGAGTTTTCAATAGGGATTCGGCGGCGCGGAAGAATCAGAGTTTGATGTCCGGTATGATCCTCGGCTCACCGCCTCGTCATCACCGCAGATTTTCTTCTTTCTCCTCCATCTTCACCGGACCCTCAATCCCAAATAGCCCGCAACTAAGCCGAAACGCTCCTTCAATTCCTCTGCATCCAAAACGCGTATTATATCTAACCCGACACGCTCAGACCCGATGCCCAAACCCACCATGAAGCTCCCAATACCTGAATGTACGTCGCGTCTTTTCTTTCCAAGCTCGTTCTTGGAATTATTATCTATATAACCCATATCTTGCGTCTCTCCTTTGTATTCAGATAACCCCGAGCTCGAGTACACCTTGAATCTCGGCGGTGAATCGACGCCCCTACCCTCGGATGTCGGACCTGCGGCGCCGCGGGCTCGCGACTGGCGCCCCGCGGGCCACGAAAGCGAGCAGAAGGCGCGCTCGAGTGCGTACGACGCCGCGGGGAATCTCAAGGTTGCTGTGCGAGGGCGGCGCGCGGCCGCAAAGGATTGCGGTATTTGGTACGCTTCTTTTCCCAATATTCCTGTTTATTGTGCCTCGTCTAATGTTTGGACTCTAGTCAGGAGGTAGCCGTCGAACCGGTCCGGACACAATGTTGCGGCGCGCTGTTCTGTAGGGAGCATATTGACGATGTACGTCCTCCTCGTTTGCGCTTTCTTTTTGTCCTCTCTTTCTACGTCATCTGTTTCACAAGGCATTTTTGCCTAGTTCTTCTCTCATCTGCGCCCTCTTGTTAACTGAATCACAGTGGCTCTTCAACCCCGCCGCAACCGGCCTCTGCCCCGCCTGCAACGCACCCTGCCTCCTCCCGCCCTCAAAGCCCGTCACCCCTTCGCACCCCCTCGCCCAATCTTCCTTCCCCTCCTCCACTCTTACTGCCCTCGACCTCGACGAACTGCAGGAAGCAGAACCTGTAGAGGAATCAGACTCACACGACCTTGACACGAACTCAAACTCCAAATACACCCGCCCCGGCGCCGACGCGCTCGTCCGCCTCCTCAGCGTGCTCGCCGCGCTCGTCCTCCTCATTGGCGCCCTCAGCCGACGCGGCGGGTGGGAGGGGTTTAACGCCGCCGAGTCTTCTCTAGACGCAGAATCTTCTTCACCTCTAGTTGGGTTGGACGTGGATTTGGAGAGCATAGGGCAGGTGTGGGTGGGAGGGGAAAGTTAGTGCGTGCAACTAGATGCGATGCGTTAGAAGTGGAAGAGATTTTTTTATTTTGCCGTCGAACTGTGCGTGTGGGTGTGGATACTAATGGAATATCCGTGGACTTCTAATTTCTAATACATGCTCGTCGGTGCGGAGGAATAATCAGCGTCGCAGTTTGCGTGGCGTCCGTTGCCCAGCGAGTGCACATGGTACCAACCTTGCACTTTATATCAGTTAATCGGATGTGGTGCACGGCACACGACCTCTGCGCATATGCTCCATCAACTCGAATCACCTGCTGAGGCAGTACATGGTTCGACTCCCCGTGTCCAGTGTTGACAAGTGATTCTTTTTTTTCGATTCTGCCAGTCTTGAGTCCAGTCCAGCCCATCTCACCTCACCTCTACTGCCTCCAAAAAAAAGGTATGGATGCGTAGGAAATCTGCGTTGTAATTTGTGTGTAAGATTCGTCTGCGAGTGGACATAATTCGTGCCTCATACAACCCCAGGAAGCAATCGGACATGGTGTACGGTACACGGCCTCTACGGATTGCTCCTCAACAGTTTTCCGAGGCAGTACGGGGTTCGACTCTCCGTGCCCGACTTGAATAGTTCTTCTATTTTTCTCTTTTTTATATGGATTTGTTAGTCTATAGTGTCCGCTTCTCACCTCACTCTCATCTCATCTGGCTCCGAATCTTCCTTCCACCGGCTGCGTCGGGGGGATTTGCTTCTTATTCGTGTGCCAGTGCGGATACTTGGATCCAAACCGTGCCTCATATAGCCCATGTAATCTACAGGGAGAATCGGACATAGTGTACGGTACATGACCTCTGCGGATGCCACTGCCAGCCAGTGCTTCGAGGTAGTCCGGGGTTCGATTCCCCGTGTCCGACTTCTGTTTGCTGCTCTTTTTTTCTTTTTTTTTGCCTCGTTAGTCTAGCGTCCGCTTCTTACCTCGCGGAAATGTTACTGTGTTCCAAAAACGACATCTCCATCTACTCTAATGCGTAGAATTTTATATGATAACTCGTGTGTAGTTTCTCTAAATCGTGCCTCATACAAACAGCATTTCAATGTACAGGGAGCGATTGATATAGTATACGGTACACGGCCTCTTTGTCATGAGTGTATTATCAGGCAGTCTAGCATTAGACTCCTATGTCTTACTAGCGCAGCATTTTTTGGAACTAACACTTTTTTAAATTATCGCGAACTCGACCCGTCCGACTTTGACAGTGCCCTGATTTTTTTTTTCTTTTTGGAAACTCACCTCACCTCCGAGTCAGTCAGACCTTTCTGCGTTCAGACAGAATTTTCATCTGGTGCTTGGGAGATTTTGAACCATATTTTGTGCGTGGTCTTCCCCGGCTAGTGCACATTAATCGTGTCTTATATCTCTGTTGCAAATATGTGGGAAGTAATCGGACATGGTGTATGGCATACGGTCTGCGCATGGAGAAATCGACAAGAAATTTAATAGGCACTACGGAGCTCGACTCCCTGTGCGCGACTCTGCGGAGTTTCAGTCAGTGAAAGTATGTTTTCCCCCTCGCTGGAATTTTGCTGCATTCAAAAGCACGCTTAGCCTGGGCTCGTAACCAGTTTGAGCTACGGCAATTCATGAGTGGAAGCACTCTGCCGTAGGCCGGCTGGTACATTTCAGGCCGTGCAATTGGGCTGCGCGTTAGTTTGAAATTTTGGGTGGTGCCGATCATCGGCGTAAGGATTCTGAACAGACAAAGTCGAAGAAAAACAGAATTATATCCAATCTTCCCTTGGAGCCAATTTTCAACTTCTGAAACTGTTGCTGTATGTACTGTAACACGTTGTTTCCCGCCGTGCACTGCCGTGTGCACGATTGAATGCGCAGTCATCTCCGAAACCAACAGCCTCCTCAAAAAACCCTAACTGATCCTCATGCACGAGTCTAATGTTGGCGACGCACATGAGACCATGCCCTTTTTTAGTCTCTCGTAGATAGGCGCTTTAACATTGAAATTCGTACCTCGGTAGCTCTTTGTCGTCAAAGCCAAGGCACTTGACGTACTCGCCTTATAAAATCACATTTTCTGTCTGAAACCCCTTTAAACATCGCTCTGAGCAAATTAGCTCCGACTCTATGGAATATCAGCCTTAGACTTTGGAAATAGCGCTAATTCTGGCGCTAATCACTGAACCGAAATGGTGAGCTGGCAGGCGCGCACTTGTGCATATTACGAATCCTTTAGTTTGACAATCGATATCAGTTAGGACCGAAATTTGCTCCAACATGGTGTCAATGGATCTTTTTCAGAGTTCCCTTGGTACAAGATGCTGGCGCCGGAAGATTCAGACCTCCTTTCAAACTCCCCTCGGAGCACGGTCCGATGACGTTTTGCGATTAAACTGCGGTTTGCTGGACTTTCGTTTGTACAGTGTAAATCTCATCATATCGCAAAATTAAGATGTGGAACCACCCATTTTTATATACTCCAGAGCGATGTGGGGTGTTTCCATAATTTTCTATATACTGTAGGCTAAGTACGGCCGATTAACCGTTCGGACCGACATGCGGTGCTTGGTCACCACAAATAACGTTAGTCATTCCTTCCGAAAAAAAAAGCAGTGCGGACATCGAACAAGTCGGACCGATCAAACCGCTCGCTGGGGATACAGCCACCGTCTACAAACCATCTAGAGTTCGGAGGCCAATTTCAAGATTTTTCGACCCACCCACCTCTTGACAGTAGTTTTCCCGACATTCCAGCGAGAGTGATCGTGGATCGTCATTAGTTAGCGCTTGGGTTCAAAGCGCCTAAAACCTGAAATAGCCGCACTGGTTCTACGCCACTGGCTCGCGCCGAAACTGTTCGGAGTATCTTTCCCGGCGACTAACAATGTTAGGAACACGGTTTCCATCAGTACATGTACCAAGAGCCCGCTGCCATATAGAGCGACACCCACCTCGCCGTCGAGCCCCACTGTGCTTTTCATCTCAGTCCTTTCTCATTTGATGCCTCCCGCGCTGACCCCAGACCAGGCAGCGGTTATTCTACATCAAATACCTTTAAACTCCCCTGTGATAGAGATATTTTTCAACGGTGATGCTCATCGATATGCCACCCTCTAGAGTCCATAACGAACTGACATAACAATACAGGAATCTTCAGCTGTCTCATGATCCTTGTCCTGGGTACTATATGTTGGTTGGGTTCCCAGACAAGTTTACAGATTTTTAACGGAGGTTCTACTATTTAGGGAAGAAGCGAGATTACCGCAGAAAGTTCTGGGCGGCATTCATCATCTTGATATATTCGTGCTCCACCATCCATTCAGCCTGCACCTGGGAGATTTTTATAACCGCCTTCCAGAATTATGGGACATCCCCGAACCTGATCCATGCTTTCAATCAGCACTTGAACCTGAAAATATTGGCCTTAGTGGCTAGTTTTTTTGGATGTATGCTGGCAGATGCGGTTATGGTACGTTCCTCAGTGTCGTGCATTAAAGGCGGTGACGATCACATCTCCTATAGGTCTGGAGATGTTGGATTGTGTGGGCTCGCTCGTGGGTCGTGATAGTGTTTCCCGTGGTAGCCGCAATTGCCGCGACAGGTCAGCCGCTTTGCACTGTTTTTTATTTCATTTTCGTTGGTTATCGGTCTGAACATCCTATTTAGTTTGCGCTGGACTGGAAGTTGCAGGACAAATTGCCGTCGTGTCCGAAAACCCTTCCTCCCAGCCCGTCTTGCACCGCTCGTGCACTTTAGCACTCCCTTCCTTTCGTTGTCCCTTGCAGTGACATTGTACACGACGGGACTTCTCGCCTGGAGAATCATTCAAGTCCAAAGATATTTCCATAAGCACGGCATCAACCAAAGTAACGGAAAGTCGTCCCCTGTGCTCGAAATTTTAATTGAAACCTCCGCTCTGTACGCGGCAAGCCTCCTCGTATTTGTGGTTCTTTTGGCGATGAAAAGCCCGAAGCAGGCTTACCCTCAAGATATTCATCCTCAGATTGCGGTGTGTCCTGAGGTTTCTCCGCGACATTCCCTCACGATATTAATTCAAAGGGCATCGTGCCCACATTGCTGATCTTTCGCACCACCGCTGGTCACGCACGCAGAGAAGAGGAATGGACGTGGCCGAAACCTGAAATAGAATTTGTACCCACGACAGAAAGTTCGCAAACCGGCTCCACCGGTGAAGTTGGAGGGAATGCACTGATTTCGGAGCTGAATGGAACATCTTCGAACTCGGCAAATAACGTTCAGAAAGACTGGCAGTAAATAGTAGCTGTACGGAAAATCTACCTCGGGATTTCGTTTGATGTACTTATTTCAGGAGTTGCTAAGTAAGGAATCACATCTGGCCCTGTGTAACACCTATCATTCGAAGGGAATTGCTGGCAGGTATAGAAGCGGTCTCTCTGAGTCTTGTCCACAATATTCTAGGCGGAGTCAGATATGATGTAACAGGCGGACCGGCGGTCGATATCCTCTCCTCGGGATACTCTCCTCGTCCCCCACGAGCACAGGAAAAATCTCTATCGGCCAGGACCGACCATCCAGGCTCGAACTATCCGATCCTCTCGACGGAGCAGCGCCAGTTGGAATCTCTGAGGCATTTGCGTTGGAATTTGCTGCAAGATACTTAAAATGTGAGACGTCCTGATGGTCGTCGAATTGCTCGGTCGAACTTCCATCGAGGGAAACGAGTCGTTCAAGCACAGTTCTATGAACGCCGAGCATCAGCTTCCCATGCAGCAGAGGCAGAATAGTGTGCACAGGAATAGACGTACATGAAGAACTCGGACGATGGCCAGCTTTGAACTCGGATTTAGATGGAGCTGGAGTGCACAGATGGGCTCACCTTTCATGCTGAGTTCTGAGAATGTCGATACATTGATGTACGAGCGATAATTCATCCGCCGCACTGCTAAGTACGTTCGTGCTACCCCATTTGTTCAGAACCAGCACCATGGCAGAGGTGAAGACGGGGCTCTTCATCGGCACCAGTAAATGACCAATTCCAAGTTATGCAAAAACAAAGATACCTGACTGAAGAACAGGGGGCTACGGGGACGCCTTCGGCACTGGACACTCGCCACACCGATACATGCCTTTGCAGCCTCGGTGCAGATTCCCAATGCCTGGGCATCCTATAACAAAACCCATGAACGATCTGTATTCCACGATTGCGCGTCGACTCACCGGCTCCATCGTGGTGAATACTCCGGGAATAAAAGGCCTGTGAATGATGATCCGCGTGTAGTAATAGAAACAGTACAAGGCCGCGGACTGATCTAAAAAAATCCCATCGGTGCAATCCGGGTCCCAAATCACTGGACGAAAATCACAGACAAATGAGGTTCACATTCGTTACAGAAGCGAGGATCGCGGGGGACAATCGACGCACGGTGCTGCGGTAAGGTACTGAACCACTGGTCCAGCGCGGAATCGAGTTCCACCGTGAAGTGCGCGAGGTCCGGATGTCGTTGCATCCGTACATTGTTCGAATGGATAGTGTACTGTGGACCATACATCAATTCCGCATGGAAGAGTGATAAAAGCATTAGGGAACACACAAATACTCGCAAAACGAAATGGAGGATACGATACAAGTTGATCAAACAATTGAAAAACACCATTGTGGATGGTTTGCCACCAGGCTGAAAACCCATGCCCCAGGGCTGCCAATGCTCGTCGTCGCACTCGGAAGGCAAGGTGACATCAATTCTGGTTGAAACATACATCATCAGGGCAGCATATCGCGGTAAACAGGCACATACTCGACCTGATCAAGAAGCCCTGAACGTCCCAGGGTGGCGCTCAGTTGGGTGTCCTGAAATGAGAGTATCCTGCCAAAAAGAATTGAGGTGAAGGAACGACACAGGTTGTTTTACTTGCCAAAAC